CCAATCATCTGGTTCCTTAGCAAAATTGATATATATATATATATATATATTTTGTTTTGGTATGTTAATACTGATAAATTAAATTATGCTAAGTGAATTTTGTGATGCACAATTCTACAATTGCACTGTATTTTAAAAAATTTATTTGATTATTCGAATACCCTTCAACATGTATGTAAATTCTGAAAAATGAATTGGTGAGTAAATTTTACAATTGAACTGTCAATAGTAGGGTAAATTATAAAATTGGACACATGACTACGCGGTTGTGTCAAGATATACAACTTCTTGTATTTAAATCCCTAATCTATCATTAATTTTCTTGTTCAGTCCCCATGTAAGTTTTTTTTCTCCTAAACATTCGATCCTTAACCTCCTTTCCATTTTCTAAGTTAACTATCTATGATATAATACTATTATTACAGCATTAAAAAATCAAAAAATGTTGAGCCCATCCTACCTAAGCTGCCTGATCTGGCGGAACTGTCTAATTCTGTTAGGCCACATAGCTATATCCATGTGTGGTTCTTTAATATTCTTTCTTATACATTAGTCTTTCTTATTAGACCGCCTAATCGTGCGACTAGCTCGAGTCCTGTCGAGGTAGAGTGCTGCGCGTACGAAGCTTACATTGTCCTTCTAGTCAATCATTCGACCAACCATACCTTCAGATCGAGTTTTCATCAGGCCATCCGAAGGCCTAGCTGGACCTGTCGTTACCTCTTCAAACCTCTCACGTCTTCTTCAACCTAAAGACTGCTCTGTAGTGGCGCTCAGCTTCCATTCGACCTTCCCGCAGTTCTGTTTGAGCAACCATGGTCAGTCGATTTATTGGGTTTTACTGTACCTAGTGTGGTATTCTGTATCAAGATACTGATTTTTATGCCTTTGCAAAATGTATTTTCATGTTCAGTATATGACATGTATATGTATATAAACTCAATATATGTTATGTATAAATTCACAACATGTTTTTGTCATTTCAACTGTATGTATACAAGTTTAGTACTCCACATGGTTTGTATAAGTTTACAACATGCTGTTTTTTCCTTTCATCCGTATGTTTTATGTTCATAGATGCTAAGTATATATTCACTAAATAAAAATATATGACACAACAATGCATGTTCATATATATCCAATATATGATGAGTATATGTTCATTAAACTTAATATTTCGGATACTTTTCAAAATTTGTTCATCAAGATGGAAGAATATTTATCGATTTTGTATATATTAAAAGATGATGTAGTTTGAAATTCACATTCGTTCTTTTTTCTATTTTGTAGGGTTTTTTTTTTTTTTTTAATATGAAGAAAACACATGACATGCACCAATATTAAAACAAAATAAACCGCCAGCCATCACCCAACCTACTAAATTATTCTTACGTCTCAATTTTCGAACCATTAACACGACTCGTTTCTGATTTATTAGGCAACAATCACACGCCCCAAAAGTATTAAGGACTTTACCGATCAAACACTGAAATGAAGATGCAACTTGAACCTCCATTGATTAATGATTCAAGGTAAAAAACACGATGGAAGGTCCTAACATTGTTGCATATATTTTCTAGCTCAAATCAAGCAAGGCCAACGAAATATCACGTCGATACAAAGTAGACACGACTACACTTGGGCACCCATTGTGACACTCGGAATCTGCACACTAGTCTAATCCCGTTTGGAGGCCACAACGGAACTGAGATATGTACAATGAGACTAATTGCCCGAAATCTCAAATTTGTTATTAACATTTATTTCAAATAATCAATGATTCGTATGAGCTTTGATTCCTTTTCCCTTATTATTATTATATCGATCCTGAGTCCCTATAACATACTGACCATCATGCTTCAAATTCTGAAAAGACTGTACTGCCCCAGATTACTTGATGATTAATCCAAGGCATAATTTGTTAATATCATCTACACTGTTTGATCCAATTCCATCTCTTTTGCTGAGTCGAAGCTGATTGTCTAGCAGGAGAATAATGTAAAGATATGCCATGGGGAGGATAAATAAGAGCTATACCCATATCACAGGGGAAATTCTTTTTGCAGAATATCAAGATTCCTCGAGTCGCAAGCTTCCAGCATGTCATTCCGTGATGCACAGCTGAAAATTAAAGGTGACAATTTCATACACCAAGGATGACATTAAGGACCGATGAAAGAACTGTTAATTATATAATGCAAATTACCTCAATGAGATTCTCAAATACTGCCAGGCATTATCCGCCTTGGGGTTCATTACCAACGCCCGGACATAGTAACGAATTGAATCTTCATACATGCCCTGAGAAAAATAGGAAGGAAAAACATTCGTAACGCATGATAAATCATATGGGTATATAACGAGGATTTGATATGTTGGCAAAATGAGGCCGTAAAGCTGGAGTTGCGGATGAAACATGAGATTTCATTATATCTGGAGCAGATTTTCCCATAATAGCATGGCAAGAAGTAAACTTTCCCATAATAGCATGAAGGAGGAGGAGGAGGAGTAACTACTAATTGATGACGTCGGTGGGACAAACATAACTTCTAACATTCCGCGAAAAACAATATTCACCTACTCATATATTTCTACTACCAATCATTATCAATTAATATTGAACTAATATTATATAACTACAGAGTCCATTGCAAATGGAGCTGGAAGAGTCAATGTTGACAATTCTTCTGGTATCGTGCAAATAATGGACTAGATTAAAATGGCTCAATTAAATTCTAGTGCTTCTTCTATTAGTGAAGTTTCTAGAAAAAATATATCAAACGACGCAACGCACCTTGGGTCGCTATGGAAACAGCCTCCTTGTATAATTACAAGGGTAAGGTCTGCGTACAACTGACCCCCCCAGACCCCAACCTGTTTGGGAATATACTGGGTATGTTGATGTTGATGTTGATGATGTTGAATATTATATAACTACAATTGTAATCATTACATTTTAATCATGTCTGTTTACAACCTCAAATCTATCTTACCTTTCCTAAAAACAACTTTATCAAGTTTTCCATCCATATTTTTCGAACAATTTTTTTAATAGATATATCATATCCAATCAACAACCTAAAGAAGCTCACTTTATGCTTCGTTCAAATCAAACTTATTTCAGGTAATGCTCCAAAAGTGCTTATGTTATTGTAACATGTCCTGCACCACAATTTGCTTGATAAAGGCAGTAACATACCTGATTGGCATAACTGATACCCATGTTCGCCCATGCCCGCACGTAATTAGGCTTCAAATCTAGAGCCTGAAAATTAATAGATAAAATATGACATTTAGGAATAGATATGCAAAATTATATGGTAGAATGTGATAATAAGTAAAATTCAGCAAACCACATCACAACAGTAGACAAATAAACCATGCAAATATCAGTTTCATGGCTATTAAGTAGATAACACTCCACATCACAAGCATAACATGCCAACACGCACATCACTTGCTAAAATTTCTTGAATCTTCATCACCTTCTATAACACAACCAGACACACAAATAAAAATAAACAACTAATACAAGGAAGAGATCAAATTTTACAGATCTGACATGCTATGCTCAAAGAAATTCCTATTGTTTTCAAATCAACCTGGGGTTATATAGTAATTGATTTTTTTTTTTTTTTAAAAAAAAAAGGCATGCCAAACATGAAACACCACAGTTTAATGGCTCACCCTACTCTGGATCTAGAAAGTATTAATCTATTTCAACGACCCAAGTGACGTAAATACAACATTCCTTATAGTGTTCGTGTAATTCACAGAAAAAGAAAAAAAAAAGAAAGAAAAATCCCAAAAATAAAGAAGATTATGGAGATAATCAGTGATTTAAACATTTGCTCTTATATTCATAATTCTACATGATGTTACAGAAGAAAAGGGCCTAGTTTATGGAAGATTCATACCATGATCAAATAATTTAACTGCCTGCTATTCAAAATCTCTAAATCATGTATTGAGGACTAGCAATTTAAGGGCGCTTCAAGAAATATCAAGCTTTGACAGTGTTTTTCCACCAGTGTGAGGAATTTACGTACAACCACATGCAAAAGTACACTAATGTACCACCTTTGGTTATCATGAGAGGATGAGATCTAAACTAGTTACCTGTTGATAAGCCAAAATTGCATCAGAACTCTGGACACTATTAGCTTGTGTTGCACCAAGCTTATTCCAAAGAGAGTAATCACGGGGTTTAAGTTTCAAAGCTGTCTGAAAAGCATCAATGGCTTTATCATATTCTCTGGATAAATTGTACAGCACTCCAAGAACAATGTGTACATCAGCATCATCAGGGGACAGTTTCGCTGCATCACTAAACAACCTAGCCACCTGTACAATCACAAAACAATAAGTACAGTATGAATGCTTCTCCATGGCATTCAATAATAAAATAAAAATGACTATCAGATCTGGTTAGCACAGATCACATAAGGCTTCCATTATAATGCTCTGTACATTATAAGCACAATTGTTAATATAATATAAAAGGCAAAAATTGTGGTGTCTGCTTTTGAGTATTCTGTGGTCCACAAAGATCCTTACATCAGCATAGTACAGATTCTCAGGCTGATCTGGGGAGGCAATAGCTCCATACTTGGGATGATGACGTAGCCAGCTGTACAAGTACTTCAGGGCAGCCGCTTGTTCCAATTCTGGAACAATGTAAACAATAATTAATGTTTTGTTTTCTTGCATGCTAATTATCACACAATCGCATAATACAGAAGCCTATAGTGTTTGGAGAAAAATGTCGCTCCCTAAAACAATTTACAGCATAGTAGATCACCTGGAGTGCAACCGTATGCCAACAAAAAATATGATAACTAGATGTAAATGATAATTTCAAGCATACTTGGTAAATGCAGAAGTACCTTACAAAATACCAAAGAAAAATGCTTATCAAGTTTTTCCGAACTTCATGCACACAAAACCAAAAGGTCTTTCCTAGAATTCCTCATCAGATTTGAGGTTCCTCACAAAATAAAATATGAAAATGATATCCTAAAAATATCTATGAAGATAAATAATAGTAATAACATAAGGTACAAAAATATAATGCTCTGGATATTATACATGATATCAACATGAGGTGTATTAAAAAAAATAATAATAATAAAATAAAAA